GGGGACATCGTGGCTGACTTTAGCACTGTACCTGGAAAGAGAATGATAAACCACTAAAAAAGTTTGAAGAAGTGTGACAAGAGGGAGTTCTTTGCTAATACCGTATAAATCGCGGCAAAAGGCACTGGTCTCTTGGTTTTTCACAGCTGTTTTTACCAAACAGATGTTTGTATGCTGCATGGCCTGCAAGATCACTTTTAAAGTCCTATGCTGACATTATGGGACACCCAGGTCCCTGCGTCAGAGCAAGTGAAGACCTGAGAGATGTGCCGTCTTCCGTAATTATAGCAAAATACAAGGTGTAAGGTCCGCTGCTTCCTGGTTTGAGCCCATGGCAGGTATAGACAATCCATCACAAGAACTGTTTTCTGCTGATGTAGTTGAACTCTTCAGAACTTTTCTCAATACACTGCTCTAGCATCATTACTAGTTGGTTGGGGTTGTTAGCACTAGAGATAAAATGTATCCTTATAAGGTTGTCTCCTAGTCATCAGGGCAGAGAGGGATGGATGAGTCATGTCTAAAGCAAACTTGGGGTTTGTTGCCAGCAGGGTCACCCATGGTGGACAGGTTTCAGTGGAGCTTCCAAACTGTCGTGGATTGAATTGTGTCCCCCAAAAACATGAGTCAACTTGGTTAGGCCATGATTCCCGGTATTGTGTGGTTGTCTTCCATTTTGTGATTGTACTCTTATGTTAAAGAGGATTAGGGTGGGATTGTAACACCCTCACTAAGGTCACATCCCTGATCCAATGTAAAGGGAGTTCCCCTGGGGTGTGGCTTCTGCCACCTATTATCTTACAAGAGATAAAAGGAAAGGGAAGTAAGCAGAAAGTTGGGGACCTCCTACCACCAAGAAAGCAGTGCATCCTTTGGACCAGATTCCTGCGCAGAGAAGCTCCTAGTCCGAGGGAAGATTGATGATGACGAGGACCTTCCTCCAGAGCTGACAGAGAGAGAAAGCCTTTCCCTGGAGCTGATGCCCTGAATTTGGACTTCTAGCCTACTGGACTGTGAGAGAATAAATTTCTCTTTGTTAAAGCCATCCACTGTGGTATTTCTATTACAGCAGCACTAGATGACTAAGACACAAAGAGATTAGGAAGAAAGGCCTGGCAATCTACTTCCATAAATTATCCAATGAAAACCTTATGGATCACAACAGAACGCTGTCTAACTTGTTTGTTTTGGGCATGTCATCAGGGGAATCATTCACTGCAAGAAGCTATCGTGTTTGAAGTAGAGGGCCAGCGAGGGCATAGGAGACCCTCGAAGAGATGGATTAGCACAATAGCCACGCGATCAACTTGAACATGCTGACAACTGTGAGGATGATGCAGGAATAGGAAACATTTTGTTGCATTGTACGTAAGGTCACCATGAGTCAAAGTTGACTGGATGGTGGCAAACAACAAAAACCACTAACAAAAACGTGACAATTTTATGACCATATAAAGTCAATTAGATGCCATGCCTAGTTGAAAACTTTATGTATTTAACTAGTTTTCTTCTTTGTCATTTTGAATCTACCTGGAATTATCTAACTGCTAACTCCTTCATTCTCTGTATGAAGAAGAATGGGACATCAGGATGGAGGAAGACTCATTAACAGCCTGCATTATGCAGATGACATAACCTTGCTTGCTGAAAGTGAAGAGGACTTGAAACAGTTACTTATGAAGATCAAAGAATACAGCCTTCAGTATGGATTATACCTCAACATAAAAAAAACAAAAATCTTCACAAATGGACCAATAAGCAACATCATGATAAATGGAGAAAAGATTGAAGTTGTAAAGGATTTCATTTTACTTGGATCCACAATCAACACCCATGGAAGCAGCAGTCAAGAAATCAAATGACGTATTGCATTGGGCAAATCTGCTACAAAAGACCTCTTTAAAGTGTTAAAAAGCAAAGATGTCACTTTGAGGACTAAGGTGTGCCTGACCCAAGCCATGGTGTTTTTAGTCACCTCGTATGCATGCAAAAGCTGGACAATGAATAAGGAAGACCAGAGAAGAATTGATGCCTTTGAATTATGGTCTTCAGGAAAAATATTGACTATACCATGGGCTGCCAAAGGAACGAACAAATTGGTCTTGGAAGAAGTACAACCAGAATGCTCCTTAGAAGCAAGAATGGCAAGACTATGTCTCACATACTTTGGACATGTTATCAAGAGGGATCAGTCTCTGGAGAAAGACATCATGCTTAGTAAAGTAGAGGGTCAGCAAAAAAGAGGAAGACTCTCAAAGAGATGGATTGACACAGTGGTTGCAACCATGGACTCAAGTATAACAACGATTGTGAGGATGGTGAAGGACTGGGCAATGTTTCATTCTGTTGTACATAGGGTCACTCTGAGTCAAAATAGACTCATCGGCACCTAACAACAACAACAACAATCTTTATGGGAGCAGATCACCAGGGCTTTCTCCCGCAGAGCTGCTAGGTGGGTAGAACCACCAACCTTATGATTAGCAGCTGAGCACCTAACTATTGCACCACCAGGGCTCCTTCAGATATAACTTTAGCTGTAGTTTTTTGCACATGCCCTTTATCAGGTTTAGGAAGTTCCCTTCTGTTCTTTGTTTGCTAAGAATATTTATCAGAAATGAACGTTGGATTTTCTCAAATGCTTTTTATGCATATATTGAGACAATTATATAGCTTTTGTTTTTTTAATTTGTTAATATGTTGAATTACATTGAACAATTTTCAAATGTTAAACCAACCTTGCATTCCTGGAATAAACCCCACTTGGTCGTGAATAAACAGCACTTGGTCCTTTTAGCAGTTTGTTGGATTCAATTCACTAAAATTTTGTTTACAACATTTGCCTCTGTGTTTATGTGTAGTGATCTGTAAACTACGGCCTATGGACCACATTAGGCCTGTGGCCTCTTTTTCTGTGGGATGGGAGCTAAGAAAGTTTTTTCCATTTTAAAGTGTGAGGAAAAGGAGGACTGAGATAGAAATAGGGATACAATTTAAAATAGGGCAGTCAAGAAAGACATCATCATCAGATGACCCTGAGTAGAGGCCATAGAAATGATGGCATGGAGCTTCACACATATCTGAGGCAATAGTTGTCCAAGCAAGAAGAATCACAAAGGCAAAACCCTGGGCAAAAATTAATTGATAACTTCCAAGAACAGCATGGAGGCCAGTGTGTCTGAGCAAAAAACCCCAATGGAAAAGCAGTAAGAGAGAAGGTCATAAAGGCATCATCAGGTAGGACCATTGTGCAGACTTTGCTTTTTACTCTAAGTGGATGAAAATCTACAAGAGAGTTTTAAGCGAAAAGTGACATGATAAACTTAGATGTAAAGGATCACTTACACTACTGTGTTGAGACTAGAGCTGGTGAGTGGGAATAATGGTAGATGTAAGGAAGTCAATTAAGAAGTTATCATAGTAATCCAGGTGAGGTATGATTATGGCTTGTGTACCAGAGGTATTGAGAAATAGTAAAAGGATGGATATAGGTCGAGGGCTTTGATCATGGATTGATCAAAGGGGTGAAATGCAAGAAAGAGAGGAATCGCAGATGACTCCAAGCCTTCTGCCTTGAGCAATCACAAGGACGGACAAGACAGGGGGAGACACAGCTTGGGGCAGGGTGTAGATCAGAGTTTAGTTTGGAATATGTTAAGTTTGAGTTGTCCGTGGATTATCAGCATGGAGATGTTTGGGAGGAAATGTTCATTTAATAAATAACGTGCCTTGGCAGCAACAAACAGTGCTTGACTTGGAAAATTTCATAGTTCACCAAGAGATCTAGTCTTTGTTATTATAAATCCATCCTTGGATAGCTTTAATCTATTGTAATAATAAACGTCCAATACTTTTTGAGCAGAATCTTCTTCAGACAATGCTATACAGAAATATTTAAATAAATTATGTATATAAATTTTAATGAATAAGTAGGGTAGGCAAAAGGACACATTTGTAGATTCTTTATTTCTATAATGGGGAAATGTCACATAAAAGTCTTCATCATTTTATTAATTCACTAGAAAGTACAAAGTCAGTTGTAATTAAAGGGAAAACTTCACACCCAACCATCAAGAGTCATTTTGTTTTCTTCTCTTCCCCCTGTAATATAAACAAATATATATTAAGTACTAGTTAAATGAGTGTCATTACTAACTGGTTCTATTATATCGGAGGAATATTAGACACATAGAAAAGGCTTCTGATGGCAGTCTTTGAAACCTTTGAAATAATCCAAAAGCATTTTGAGGTAGTTGAGTCATTAATTTAACATTGTGGGCATAATTTGGTTCTAATGTTTTTAAAATAAACTTCTTTATTGAATTGCATTTATTTTTAAGAAAAGCATTTAATAGTAGCTTTTAGAGTGCATCTCACTATGGATTGATATGTGGAGAGAATCAATATTATTTTTAGTCTTGTCTAAATCTTTTATTACCTGAAGTAGTTTAAACTCCCAAAGCAGCACGGGTTTTTGAAATCAGTTTTGGTCCCTGAAAATTAAGAATACATAAGAATTATCAGATGGAGGAATGGAAGATTGTGCCGGTCATACAGTTAACTCACTTCATCCAGAGTGGATTCACAGGTTTGTAGATTAACCAAATTAAAAATAAAGATATACTTTAAATAATCATCTACATGAGACCGAACAGTCATCATTTACCCTAAAGCAAAGATGAGAAGGTAAGGGGTTGGGGTAGGGGGCAGAGAAGCTAGATTAATGGAAACAGAATAAGCAGAAGGGAAATAATGAGAATGCTGACACATTGTGAAAAATGTAACCAATATCAGTGAACAATATGCATAGAAATTGTTAAATGGGAACCTAAATTGCTGTGTAAACTTTCCCCAAAAACACAATAAAATATTATATGTTAAAAAATAAATACAGACATACATCTCTGAGGCCAGCAAGCCGGGACAGTGGAAGCCAGAGAGAAAAAGCACACCCATACCAACAGCTGATGTTTGTGCTTCCTATACCAATATCTAAATCCTTACCAATCCTCCCTGCACCTTTTCCCTTCCTCCACAAATCACAAGTTATTAGAAAATAAAAAGTATGCAGAGAAAGTACTGGAATTATATATTAATATTCTCTACATCTAAACACAAGTTGACTCAACCACACTTAACAACAACAAACATCTAAATAAATGTCTTCTCAAATCAGAGGACATTCATCTTTTTGTATCAGATTTATTAGAAATGATTTCCATCAACTCCAGTTTATCCGTTTTGTTTTATCGGGTTTGGTTATCTATGTCCCACCACCTCCCCCTGCAAACACAGATACCTTCTGACAAGAACAGACGTTAGAAAATATTTAATTACATCACTTTTAGAGAAAGCTCTACTTTTTGAAATGTTATCTATCTTTGGACTTTACATATAATAAAATGTACAAACTTTATATTATGAGACAGATAAAATTGGTAAAAGGCTGAATTAAAAATATCTTTTAAAAATATAGTGATGTTATAATCAAGTATATTTAGTAATGAAGCTAAAGGTTGATAAAATGTAGCCAACTACAAATCTAGCAGAGATTACTAAATAATTACCCGCCATACACACTCATTGCCGTCGAGTCGATTCCAACTCTTAATGACCCTATAGGACAGAGTAAAACTTCCCCATAGGGTTTCCGAAGAGTGGCTGGTGGATTAGAACTGTCGATCTTTTGGTTAGCAGAAGAGCTCTTAACCAGTGTGCCAACAGGGCTCCACTAAATAATCATATTTGGATAATTCCTAATTTCTACTCTTGACATACAAACGCATGCTCCTAAATGAGTTCAAAAATCTTTGAAAATATTTTCTATAAGTATTTTCCATTAGTCCTATTTGAAAGAAGCCCTGGTGGTGCAACCAATAAACGTTCAGCTGTTAACCAAACGGTTAGTGGTTCAAATCCACCAGCCACTCCCTGGGAGGAAACACCCGGCAATCTGCTCCCATAAAGAGTATAGCCTAGGAAACCCTATGGGGCAGTTCTACTCTGTCTGATAGGATCTCTATAAGTCAGACTCCACAGCACCCAACAACAACAACTGTGTTTGCAGAATTAATTTGCTGTTAAATCCTTTTAATCCACTGAACTGAATTAGACCCAAAGCTATCCAAATTATCACCAATTAATTATGGATTCACTTTACAGTTTTCCCCCCTAGGAAAGTAAAAAAAAAAAAAAAACCTCTTTTAATATATTTTAAAATTACTACTCTTCCTAATACTTAGTGGGAAATTTGTGATTATTTTTTAGACCTCACAAAATCATTGTATTTATTTCTAAAAGAAATTTAAATCTCCTTGGCACTGTTTTAAATTCGTAGGTTGTGGGATATTTTTCCCATTACTTACTACAGAAAATTCCATAGCAAGTATTTTGAGTGTGAAAATGAGTTGCACATACCTCTTCCGCCAAGCAGGCTTCCTGCTCCCGGCCTTGGCAGCACGTCTCCAACAGGCCAGAGAAATCTGCAATGACTGTCTCAAGTTGTTCCTCTGTTATTTGTAGCTTTTGCTTCACAAGGTTAATGAGAAATCTATGGTTTAAAACACAACAAAATATAAGAGAAGTCAGTTATGCAATGATATTTTTCTAAAGTATTTCTGGTAAAGAACTTTCAGAGCCCTGGAAATCCTCTCCCTAAACCCTCGCCACATCACCCCATCACTCCATCACCCCACTTCCTGCACACCTTGTCTAATACTTCATCAGGAGAACTGAGGCTGTGAACATGCCCAGCGCTCCGCTGGTCTGGACTTGTGCACATTATAAATGAAAGGCCACTTCATAGTTCCTCCACACTTACAGGTAGTGGAATACAGTCTTTTTCTTACTTGCCTAGAGGATGTGTTCCTATCCTCTCTTCTAAAGAATGCCTTATCCATGCCTAAAGACCCAGATCCGTCTCGTTTTCTAAACCCCTGACTTCCAAGATTATCACACTCTGACCTGAATGCTGGCAGCATTAATTGCCTGCATACTCATTTAACAGTGCTTCTACGTTGGGACTCACGCTGACCAGAGGAACAGGAAAGGCTTTCCAGAGGACATGGCATTCTTACTGTAACTTGAAACATGCCTCAGATTTTGACAGGGAAAAAAAGGAAGAACAGGTTTTCCAAAATGAAGGAAGACTATACACTGTACAAAGCACGCAAGCATCAACATGCATGGGAGTCTGGCGAATGTGAGTTCCGTTGGCTGGCATTACCATCACCATTATTGAATGTCTCCCACATGAATTAGAATATATATCCTTTCATACCATGGTTCAATCAGATTGCATTGTTATTCTCTTCAAAGTGTAAATAGTGCAAAATAAAATTCAATGCTGCTTTTCCAGTGCTCGGAATGAAAGTACCCAGACTTACTGCAAGGATATACACTCTTTCCCAAGTACATTGCCCATTTTCCCTCAACCCTACAATGCATCACAATAATAATAACTAAAATAAATTTACAAACATGAAAGGATCTGCCCTAGTGAATTTTTACAGACTTACTTCCCATTGAGGCTACAAGGACGCTGAAACAAACGATTTTCAAAGACTCCTTAAGTGCTTTGGGGTAGTAGTGTTATAAGCAGTGAGCCCAAGAGAGTTACGTGTGTAAAGGCAGAAGTCTCAACTGCTATTTGGTCTTATCAGTCCTCTCGATGCTAGCAAACAACCATGTCTTACTCTTGCTTCATCGACTGCAGTGCTGCACCCTGAGCTTGGCACAGATCCTTATGGAAGAGGAACTTGGCAGCAGAGAATGCTGGAGGGACATATGTTTCATCCACCAGCAAGTTGCTGAAGCATGGCCTCCTGTTGGCATATGAAGAATTACAGCACTGGCCAACACCAGGGTTTACAGGAGTCTCTTCATGCCTGATACATAAATGTCCAATAATAAGGTCAGCCTAGTTGGGAGAAAGAGAAAGAAGAAGAGGAGACTGGATGTTAGCCACAAAGGTCATTCAGCATTCCAGAAAACTGTTATAATAATTTTTAATACATAATTATTTATATTACAGGAAAATTTGCTGCCTTATCACACCCTGACCTGAATCTGATTGGCCAATTTCCCCTGAATAAAGGCGACTTCCACAGCACCCTGTTTCAGGAAGCAACTAGATTGGCCTGTGAAGTCTGATTTGTGACTCTAGTTTTGGGTTCTCCAAGATCACGTGATGCCATACTTTAGATTCCAACACTTACTCATTTTGGGGGGCTAAATCTCAGCATTTAGCAATAGATGTTCCATATGTGACATTGGACAGCTATTTCTGTTTTATTAGATACACTTTTCCGGTTATATACATACCTCCAGTGGAATTTAAAAAAAAAAAAAA